GGGCAGTGAACGCTCTCAGCTGTCAGTGTAGCAGAACTGGGTGAGCAGTAAGTCAAGGGCTTGGAAGTTTTTCCTGTGTGCAATGATTCATGACTTATGTTTGTCAGTAGATGGGAGTGTTTGGAGAGGATCCAAGTCATCATGAAACATTTACAAATCCCAGACGTTTTGTGGATTTCACCACAAATTATCTTCTGTCCCACACAGCCAACCCACATGTTCATCGACATTTCTGAGCTGCAGTTTATTAATCCTCTCTTTCCAGCAATGGTGTGAAGATAGTAATGGCCAGCAAGAGGGGACATGCCACTGGAGTTGTGCCAGCTGGACACAACAGAAGGTTAGTGTCTGAAGGCCCAATGACTCCTCTCTTCTCCATGGCTCCTTCACCTTGCTCAGCAGTCAAAGGAATATGGATCAAGACTTCCCTGGGTGAGAAGGAAGAAAAGACTGTTCCTAAGAGGGCAAAGGCCATGCCAGCTCCTTCAAAAGACCTGTCTGAGAGCATCTATGGAGAGGTGTAGTAGAAACATAAAGTTGAAATGAGGGGTCAAAGCCTAAGAAGAGGTGTCAAAATGGGATAGAAGGGTATCAGGCATTGATGGCAGCAAGACCATTGAGATTGCAACACATCTGTGAATAGTTTTTCAAGACCCACATACTGGGAAAATAAACAGCAGCCTAAAATAAAGAACAGCATAAAATTAAGGAGAGACTGTGCCCAGGGAAAAGGAGTCTAAAGGAGTCTTTAAAAAAATGAGGCAAAAGTGATATCCATGGGACCCACATGAAAACACAGTTCAGCTCCTAAATGTATCCAAAGCCAGTGCATGGGCAACAGCTGAGAGCCCAGGAGATGTGAGGACTCACCAGCTGACATCCCTTCTCCTCTCTAGTTTGAATGCTGGACATTTGTCCAGGTGGGTGTGAGACACTGAGTGTCTGAAAACAGTTTTGTTTGAAACCAAATAACCTTTTTCTTTACCTTTGCCTCTCACAGATATGGTAAAATATGTGGGATATGGGAAAACACGTGAGGAGATCTGTGGAAACATTTGCATGTGTGCTGGGGGCAAGTCTCAGCTTGCAATTCTGAAGGGGGCAAAACCCCATCCTTTTGAATGGCATTTCAGGCTGATCCCTCAAAGAAGGTAGAGATCCCACTTAACCTGAAGCTTTGGGATGTAACTGAGTAGATTTTTTTCTCCCCTACTTTACACTGCAGGCTGTCCCTCCAGTACAGGGTGCAAAGGAAATCTGGCTTGCTGGAGAATTTGTTCATGGCCTCTCTACTTACAGTGACTCTCTGGGACAGGACACAGCTCAGCTTTCCTGCTCATTGAGCATAGGAAACAGACCCATAAAGGTCATGGAAAGCTGTTCATACCTCTCTAAGTGAGGTCCTGGGGAAGTCTCTCACCAGAGGAAATTATTCACCAGGCAATGAAGGCAAGAAGGTGGACCCCTGAGGAGGACTGCTCCTCTAAAGGTTCATCTGAGAGGGACAGTCCCTTTCAGGCTGATGCTGGGATGCTCATAGTGTTCAGGGAACAGCAGTCCCCATCTTACTATGCCCTGGTATCTCCAATTCGTTCATTATATCTGATTCAGATTTTCTCTCTTGCAACAGCCAGTGCCTCTGGCAACAGTCAACGGCTAACACTGCCAAGATGTGCATCCTTGTGGAGTGGCTCTTGGCTGCCTCCAGCCTTCAGTTTTGGAGCTGAAAGTCTATTCCTGATATTTTAATGTCTATCAGCTCCTACACCTCGCCAGCGTGGGTAGATAGTGAAATACAGCAGGTAGAAATTAACTGCCACCCTCCACAAGAGCCCATGGTGAAGCCTGAAACCAGACAGTACCACACATGGTGGCAGGTGCAAAGCCTGGCCCATGTCTGGGCAGGTAATTATTGGCTCGCTTTGGCCATCCCTGCCCCCCATGCTGCGGTCATCTCCCCCCACCCTGGAGATGCCAGGTTTTACACCTGTGCAGGTTTTACACCTGTGCCAGGTTTTACACCTGTGCAGAGGAAGCGCTGACAGGACCCAGCCAGTTGAGCCCGGGGTGCCTCTTCATGCCATGAGCAGGCAGCAGGGCACATTGCACCTTTTGCTGCCAAACGCTGAGGAATGTCCATGTCCAGCCAGTGACCGAGGTGCCCCCAGGTGTTAGACACCTACCAGAACTGGATCCCAGGGCTGCCATCCCATGGCTGAAAGCCAAGGCTTTCAGACTGCAGCCAGCCTCTGTCAGGACCCTCATAAGGTCGTGCTGATTCCAGCTAATAAGACTGTGCAAATCATGAGAAAAATAGTAAATTACATAATCTAACCTCCTGGGTATCTTAGGCCTTTGATATTTGCCTTGATTTTTCTATATTAGGGCTAATAATTTGGCTCAAGCTTCTCTTCCAGATAGCAACGCTACTGGATTGCACCAGCACTGCTTCATTGAAAAAAATCCTTGCCTCACTGCTCAGTTGGGATTTCATGGTGCTGACAGCAGGACCATTAATAATGAACCCATTTTTTGATGTATTTTTAACACAGAATGATTTACCAGGACTTTCACAACTGTTTTGACAATAAGCTTCTCTTGGAGCAGTGTGGGAAGCTGCAGGAAGAACCAAGTCCCAAAACTGGCAGGAGGAGGAGATGGGACAACCTTGTCAAGTCCATCCAGGGCAGGGGACTGCCAGATCACAGAGGGACAGGGCAAGATGGAAGGCATTCTCACTCCTCAAAAAAGGGACAGTGTGGCTGTGAGAGAAATTTCAGTGACCACGTTTCCTCAGCACAAGTCCCAGGACGTCCTTACTGAATAGAGGACAGGGGCTGGATGTTTCTCTGGAGCACCCCCATTTGTCAAGCAGAGTAATCATAGTAAAATTACATAAGAATTGTTGGCTAGGAGATCAAGTCTCCTGATCCAGGCTTTAAAATGGCTCTTTAGGGTTAGCAGGAGAGCAGCTTGCTTGCACCATCGATGGATTTTCCTCAGCCCCCCTCCAGCTGGCCACTCCCTCCCACAGCTCTGGGGAAACCAACGTAGCCCTCCCACACCAGCATACGGATGAGCCCAGCCCCCCCCTTCCCGGTGAATGAACTCTAAAAAACTTAAAGCTCAGTTATTTCTTTTCTCCCATTCTCAGAGTCCTTCTGAATATCTGCTCCAGCTTCTCAGGCTCCAGGGATTTGGCTCTGGCAAATAAGCTCAGGCAAGCAGGAGCTGACTGTTACATGACCCTTCTTGTAATTTTCTGGAAATCTCGTCTGTAGGATAAACAGACCAATGTTAACCTTTATACAGTAAATAAAACTCCAGTGAATGTGGCCACTTATCATGTCTAAAAGATGCATTTTTACTCCTAATATTAACACATTTTAAAAGAAATATTTCTTTGGCAAAAGCAAAAAAAAAAAATTTGTTTCCTGTTTCAGTAAATAGACACCATGGCAGAGCAATTCCATCTGATACTTACTCCCTGCTCCATACAGCTGATCCCCCTTTATCTCTGTTTACTGCAGAGATACTATTAAATACCTTCAGCCACTCCTGCTTGCAGATTTCCAGAGAGCCCATGTCCTGTTTATAGCATCTCTGCCAAGGCTGCTTATGCAGGAGCTCCAAACAGATGAGAGAAAAGGTTGAGGGGGAGATGCTGAAAGAAGGAGGTGGAAAAATGTCTGCTGCCACCTCCAAGCACATTGCACTGAGAGGGAATATTTTCATGTCTATCAGCTCTTACACCTCCCCAGCCTGGGTAGATAGTGAAATACAGCAACAGAGAATCTCAAAATCAGAAAGGTTTGGGTTGGGTAAAGCCCATCCCATCCCAGCCCCTGCCATGGGCAGGGACACCTTTCACTGTCCCAGGTTGCTTCAAGCCCTGTTCAACCTGGTCTTGGACACTTCCAGGGATGGGGAATCCACAACCTCTCTGGGCAACCTGTGCCAGGGTTTCATCACCCTCACAGTGAAGAATTTCTTCAGTCTTCAGTATAGCCAAGTATATCCTCCAGTCATCCCGAATGCATCCAGAGAGTGACTGGATGAGGTGTCCAGAGAAACTGGGTTGCGTTGGTGATGGAGGGACCTGCCCTAGGCTGTGGCTGCTGCAGTGTTGTCCATTCCCACAGCCATTCCTGCACTGATCACTAGCTTTGCCTGAGCATCAGAAGTTCCTACAGCCCCTGTGAAGCCCCTGATGCAACCCCTGCTTAGAGCTTGGACCCTGGGGCTCTCAGCACATTCAGCAGAGAAGCAGGGAAGTCTTTGGAGCCTGATTTATTTTGCTCTTCCCAGCTGTTTTGTCCAGATGAAGCAAGGCTCTTCCGTTCTGTTTGAAAAGGACTGCACCCACTCAGCCATCTGCATGCTGCTGTTGGGGATCCGTGTGGCCATGAGCTGTGTGAACTGTGCCAGGGTACAGTTGCAACAACTGCACACCTCTGGGAAAGATCTCTCATGATACCTACTGGGGACTTCAGCCCTCTATCCCTTCATTAGACACCCACAGAGATTTCTCACTTTCCCTCAACCTAAAAGGGATCTGCGTTGTTTTAAGCCATGTGTTTTCTAGGCAAGAGAGTTTATGAAAGCAATAAAAGGCAGAATGATGATTAAGGGAGACAGGGAGGGGTTTGCCCATCTTGCTGAGAGCAATCTTGGTTTTGTTTTTGGGCCAGTCTGCCTGACATGTGATGTTTCACGTCACATCTGGCTTGCAATTAAGATGGAATGCAAATGCTTCCAGCCTCAACTTGGTTTCCTATAATGGGCTGAGCCTCTTTGAGCACCACCAGGGACTTGTGGGACACGAGATATGGGGAGGATGACTTGTCCTTGTGCTTTTGCAGCAGGATGACTGAGAAGCCTGAATGTCACAGAAATTTTTGTCAGGAACTGGAGAGGCTGCCCAGAGCAGCTGTAGAGTTACTATCCCTGGAAGTGCTCAAAAAACATGTGGATGTAGCATTTGGGGACATGGTTTAGCAGTGGACCTGTTGATGCTGGGTTAATGGTTGGAACTGGTGCAGGGCTTTTCCAGCCTGAATGATTCCATGATCCTGTGACACCAGCTGAAGCCAGCATGCACACTGAGTTTCACAGGATCATGGTGAAGGAGGCAGTTTGCTGCAATGCTCTGCACTGCACAGTCTTGGTTTAGGCATCTGGATCAAGAGATGGATTTGCAAGGCTAGAATACTCCTGTGGTGGACAGGGAAGCTGGAGAGGGGGCCAGGGCAGCTTCCCAATATCCCAGACTGAGAGCATTGGACCAGAGACGATTGATGAACAAGGCAGTCTCCAAGGCACAGGCAGAGATTGGGCAGGGAGGCCCTGGCTGCAGTCTGGAGGCTTTGAGTCTCAGCTGAGACACGGAAGCCCTGAAATGGAAATCCTCTTCTCCTGCCCATGAAAGTCCTCTTCTCCGAGGTGGATTGCTCCCGTCACATTTGACAGTCCCTAGCTGAAAAGCAGAAATGTTGTAGTGTCTCTGAGCTGAGTAACTTGCATCCTATGGGGTCTGTGGTATACACTGCAGCTTGCCTTCAGGCACTGCTGGATGAGGGAAATTCTGTGATTGCTTCCAACTTGATCTTTCCTGGGAAAGGAAAGAGCAAAGATAGTGTGAAGACTAATAGACTCTCCAGTGCTTCTTCAGTGGATACCTCCCAAAATGAGTTATCCTCCATCACTCACAAACCCAGTTTCAGTGCTGAGACTACCACTCACCTCCCAGCCCAACCTGTCTGACCTACAAGTGTGACCTTAGTGTGACCATCTGCTCCATCCCAGCTCAGGGCTTGCTGTGGAGGAGCACAGAGATGGGAGAACACCAGTCACCCCAGCGAGCCTGGCCAGGTCAGCAGCTCAGAGACAGGAGCCTCTCAGAGATGCAGAGCCAATCCTGAAACCTTCACAGTTCAAGCCTCTGCATTGCACTGACCTCAGCAAGGCTTGCAGACTTGAGAGAACCATCCTATCCAGAAGTCTGGCAGACCAGGAGCCACAAGCCCGGCTGGCAGCCACCTGCCCAGAGCTATGTTCTCCTCCGCCCCCCCAAGACAAGTGAGTTTTGTTCAGGGTGTGTGCAGGATGTGGCTCGGTGACCCCTCTGGGCGAGAGGCAGCTGCTGTGCCACTGCTTCCCGGCCGCGGCCGGGCTGTGCGGCAGAAAGCCCTCTTTGTGCTGGGGAAGGTGTCAGGTACTCGCCGTGCAGGAGCTGAATTGGAGCTTTTCATCGGGCCAGAGGCTTACCGGCTGAGGAATGCTGTCTCCGGGCTGGGGCTGGCAGGGAGCTGCGTGCGCCGGTCCCGATGAAGCCACAGCCTGCCCGCCCTAGCCGGGGGCTGTTTGTGGGCTGAGGGCAGCAGGAGCGGTGTCCCCTCGGTGGGGACACAGGGATGGAGTTATTTATAAATGAGCGAGTGTGCAGAACCCTCGGTGGGGAGAAGTTGCTTTGGTCGATGCATCCTGGGCAGGATGCGGCGCTCCAAACATGCCAACCCAGGCTACACCCGAGCTGGGGATGCATCAGAGGTGCATCGTGCCTGCAGGTCCTCAGCAGAAGGCCTGCAGCATCCAGGCATTCCGAGGGACAGCCCAGAGAGACATGTTTTAGGGAATAGTTTCTCACCACACAACACAGAGGATACTTTTGCAAGGGATGCTTTTAAGACACACATTTCAGCCCAGAAGTATAGCTGTGCTTTCAAGTTTACACCGGTTTGAAAAGTTGGAGAATTTGCAGTATTTGGGGGAATGTCTGCTGCTTCAAGCCCCATTTTAATGTCTATTTTGGAGGCAAGGAATCCATAACCCATCTGACAAAACAGTTTTGAATTCTAAATTAAGCTTCTGTGTATCTCAAAATTGACTGTAATGTCTGTTAATAAAACATTTCCCCCGCAATAACAGCAACTACTGTATGAAGGGTTTGGGTTCTAGTTCAGGCAGAGATGACTGATATGAACCAGACAGCAACATACAGAGTTATGGCTACTGCCTGGGTTGTTTATTTGGGCTTTTTTAACAGATATTTTGTCATTTCTGCCGCAAAGTGGCACAGAGGTTTTACCTCAAGAAGCTGTCAGTGATGAGCCATTAACTTCCAGTGATCACTACGCTATTAGCCAGAGTCATTGGGGAGAAAACTGCCTCCAGAACTGCTGGAGGCTGCTCAGTGCTAGAAAGTGGGAACTTCAAATTAAATAAATGAGGAAAGTTCATTTAAAGGGCCCTAAAGGCAAATTCATTTCAGGCCATAGCTTTGATATGGAAGCTGTGGATGTGCCCATCAATGAGGCTCTGAAGGCTGCACAAGTTAAGAGAAAAAGCAGAAATGCCCATGTGGGAAAGAAAATCAACAACATTTGCTGAAATGACAGGGTTTTGTTGCGTATTTGAGCTAAACGAGGCACTTCAGAAAAAGGAAATCCAGCCTTAGTACAGGCAATAGAGACAAATAAAGCATGCCAGGGGCTACCTAACAAGGGAATTACGATGGGATTTCATCAGAGCAAACGGCAAAAAATGTTATAAAATAAAAAGGTACAAAAATAAGCAATGAAAAGACATAAGAATACATAAAATCTGATGTAGGCAGAATCCTGGGAGGGAAACATAGAGTGATGGCAAAAAGTAGGAATGGGAAGCTGAGGGGTTTCTTTGGATTGTTCAGGCCCATAGAAGGTGGGGGTAGAAAGCTACTCTGGATCAGCTCATTTAGGTTTTAAAATGAGCAATGGGGATATCAGAAGAAGATGCTGGAATAAATTGACATGCTGAAGAGCAATAAGTCACTGAGCACCGATGAGGCATCCAAGACTTGTGTAGGAACATAAGAATGAAATGACTGATCTACTGACAGAAATATGCACACGAAGATCTGTGCTCAGCAGCAATCAAAAATAACCAGGGAAATGATAGGACGTGACAGGGATGGGAATGGGTGGAATCTGGAATACATTATGAAGCCATCACAGAGCCAGCAGGGTGCCCTTCTCCGGAGCTGCGCCCTCTCCTGTGTCCTGTCCTGCCCACCCCATGGGCTGTAGGGGGGCAGAGGGACAGAGAGGCTGGGGGTCAGCAGCAGTGGAGTGCACCAGGGACACCAGGAGGGAGGCTGCCTTGGTGGGGCAAGCAGGCAAGGAGGAGATTTTGGGATGAGAATACCCAGACAACTGAGAGTATTACCCAAGAGAAAAGAAGTGAAAGGAGGAGAGTACCCTCCACCTCACCCTCTTCTGTTACCCAAAAATGAGGTGTCAGGGAGTAACTCAGGCAGTAGGCTGTGGGACTCACTGATGTGCTGCAGTGCAGCAGTTCTTGTCTCAGCAGCAATTTGTACCAGCTCTTGTGTCCTCACACAGACAGCACAGCTTGTCCCGTGTTCCAAGTGCAAGGGAAGGTTGCAAACTGACTTCTTTGGGCTGCTGAAAGAAGGAAGATGTCCTCCTCACACGTCGACTGCAAGGCCTGGAAGATCTCTTTAGGACAACACTAGGGCTCAGGGGGTGCAGGAGGAGGCATGCAGGCAGCAGGGTAGTGGGAGCTATGGAGCAGGGTGCTGAGGAAACACATCCCTCCCAGGAGACAGAGAAAGATGAGAGGGCAGTAGGAGAGAGAAGAGGAATTCCCTTTAGGTCTGTCTTTTTTAATGAGTGTTTTTACTCATGTCTGAATTGGCTGAAGGCCTTTTACAGCCTTTTCCAGTCCTAGAGGATCTGTTCATGGTGGTATCCCAGCATCATTGTCCACACTGTCTTGATCATTGTGTGTGCCCAGAGAGAAGCAGCAGGGGACAAAACAAGTAGATGAGCATAACTCCTACCACTTGTCTTACATGGCAACTGGCCTTGTCAGGGCTGGAGGTGCCTTGCCTCACTCTGTGCTCTGCCCTTGGAAGCAGTTCCTGCTCACAGACCAGCCAGCACAGCTTCCCTGGGTGTCAAGGCTCAGTGAGAGAAAGGGTCTCCAGCAGATGATGATTCATGGTTGATGGTTTTAGCCAGAGCTGGATTAAATCAACTCCTCTCTTCCATGGCTCTGCCAGGTCTCATGGCCCAGGGAGGGGAGGAGAGAGGAGAAATAATGAAATTTCCCATCCAGAATCGAGGGGGATTTATAGCTGTTGTGATAACCTCGGCCATTAGTGAGGCTCGCACAAGAAACCATGCTGATTTCCAAATTCTGATTTACTAAACAACAAAATGAAAACTCAACATAAATCATTTCTGCTCACACAAGTGGCAGCTGTGGGGAGGCTGCCACAGGGATATACGAGGGCTGGTGCCTGGTTGTCTCCTCTGAGCTCTGCCCAGCCCAGGCACTGGATGGAAGTCTGGGCACATCCACCTTGCCCTGCCATGAAGTGCAGCAGCCACTCCTGGGGCAGGAGCACAGAGCCAAACTAATGATATCAGGGCAGTGGCTTCATACTGGGACAGTGGCTCCAGTAGGTCCAGGCAGGGCATTGAGAAACTGGGACAAGTCCACAGAGAGGAGCAGGATAGGATTTTCCACTGTTTATCTAGGCAAAGCCATAGCCATGCCAAGCCAGTGCTAGAGACTGTCCTGTTGCTGGTGGGAGGCTGGTCTGGAGACCCTGCATCCCCTTCCACCAACCTGCTGAGATCCTGGATTTACAGGAGAACATTTCCGCCAGGCATTGATGAATCAGCCCAGGATGTTTTTGCTTTCTTTTACATGCAGTCCCTTTAGTCTAAGGGTGCTATCAGCATCTTTCCTGAGAAGATACACCTGCCTTCCCAAACCAGATGGCAATGTTCTCATCCTAAGAAATATCAGCATTTTCCAGTGCTACTACTAAATGTGACATGGGAGTTTATAAAAAGAAAAAAAGTTAAAAACCCAAGAACTTACATGGTAACAGGGTATGTTGGACATAGGACAGTGTGTCCCATGGCAGCAGGGCATGGATGGTGCTAGATGCACCAAACCAATATCAGGCGCCTGAGAACCTGAACAGCTCTCAGGACATGCATGGATTGAGTCAGGACAATGTTTGGTGTAACTGTACATTTCAGGATCACTTTCCAAGTGAAGGGGAACAATGGGGCAGATCATAAAAAATCATCACTATTACCATGGTAGTGAAGCACATCCAATATCCTCAGGCTTCTGTTAGGAAAACCTGGACATGTATTGCTCTGTCTTACCATAAAAGACAGCGGAAGGGCCAGGTTGTTTGTGCAACAGCCCTAACCTGTAAGGTTAGAATTAAATTGGTGAGAAGGGAAACAGGCAAGTTGAACGCACTGATATATATGTATGGACACATCACATCATAGCAGAGAGAAGTTACTATCCTGATAAGATAAAGACAACCTGACACACTGCCAACCAAATGGTACAGGGGAAGTTTCAAATAGTTGAATGTGCTCAGTACTAAGGACAGGAATAAATAATATTAATTTGCAAAATGAAAATATACAGCAAGCCTCTACAGAAATAAAAGGAGGTTTGCTGGGGCAGAACTAGGCAATTGTCAGCTCAGGAAAATGCAGTATCTAAGGCAGAGAAATAAATAGAAGGTGCTTGGACTCAGTACAATTCACTGACCTCTTGGAGATCCATCACTGCTGCAGGCAGCAGGAAGGGAGACTGGACATGGCTCCAGGGGGATTTGGTGTCCCAGGTCTGTGACTCCCTGAACTCCACAGCGGGGTCATGTTCCCAGCATCAGCCTCAACCTGGGAAACAAGCAAAAACTCTGGACAAAACCCCTAAAATAGGACTTTATAATTTCTTTCCCCATCTATGTCCCTGCAATTATTCGTGGAAGAAGCTCATTCCCTAGATTTGCTAGGATCCTTTTTATGTGCCTGTGATCGGAGAGTGACATCTGTAAGATGAAAAACTGCATTGCAGTAGGAAATTAGCTAGACTTGCCTTACTGGTAAGTAGCAAACTAGCCTGCAAACCCCAATATCATACTGAATCTGGTTTCACAAAACATCTCCCTACAGAGACTTCCATAGAATTCAAATATTTAGTCCTTATTCACAGGTTATGCTGGAGGATGTGTTGCTCTTTGCTGAGCAGGGGCGTGCACACTGCACAGTGACAATTGTTTTGAGGCTTGCACAGAAGAAAATATTGTTTCTGGATAAATAATCCCATCACATAACCCATAGCACATGTTCAGCATCCAATGAGAAGAGTTCCATCAGTCAGCGCATTTTCATCAGTGCATGGCATTGTGTCATCCAAAGCACAATCCTGGCCCTTGAGACTCAAGAGACATCGTGGTGCAGACCCTGAATTATTGGACCAGGGTTACTGGCTATTGATTTCAGAGTTAATCTTACAGAGTCCTCAGCCTTCAAGGTGCTGTAGAACTCACAAAGTGTATGGGGCAAAGCACTGCCCTAAGGCTTAGGCATTGAGCAGGTCTCTGTGTTTTATACCACGTGCAGGGGCTCTTCAGGACTGCCCTCAGATACGCTGGTGCAATCAGGGTAGTCTGTGCTCCAGTGCAGGTTACACCTCCATTCCCACATTATGCCTGGACCATTCCAGCGTTGCTGTGATCACAGGAAGAAAATTCTCCTGAGACTGAAAAATGTTAGCATTAAATTCTGCCCAGAAAATCACTGTCTAGGATGCAGAAACACTGAGGTGCTGCAGAGTCCTCCAAGACATCCAGGTCATCTGGGGATCTGGCTGTACCTCGCCAGGCCTAACAGGAGTGGATTGTCTGCCCCAGGATGAGCCCCATCTTCCTGCCTGATAACTAAAGTCTGATCAAAACAATTTTGTCTCCCAGCAAACTCTCCTGCAACAGTTTGCTGTAGTGGGGACTCCCCAGCTCCATTCCAAACCTGTATCCTTATCAGTCTTTGCCAAATCCATGAAATTTCTTCAAGAAATAGCTAAACTGTACACAGGCTTTGTGTCCTGGGTCATAAATACCATCTGGCCTTGTAGATAATGTACTGAGGCCAGCTCGTTACTGTACAGTTCATCAACTGCCAGGATTTCAATTCTTTAGAGAGTCACAGAGTAGTTTGTGTTGAAGGGACCTTAAAGTTCATCCCATTCCCACCCTCTGCCATGGGCAGGAACACCTTCCACTATCCCAGGCTGCTCCCAGCCCTGTCCAGCCTGGCCTTGGGCACTGCCAGAGATGGGACAACCACAGCTGCTCTGGGCACCCTGTGCCAGGGCACAGGAAAGAATTTCTTCATTCACTTCTTCATTCACATCTAATCTAAATCTTTCTCTATTTTAAAGCTTTTCACCCTTATCCTATCCCAGTCTGTTCATGTAAAAAGTCTCTCTCCCTCTTTTTTATAACCCTCTTTCTCAATTGTCATTGCAAAAATTTAGATCAAGAGACTTTTTGACTGGATGGGATGCATTCTGCATGTAAGAGTCCCTGCATTGACTTTAGAAACTAATTGCAAGCAGGGAATGAGGAGGCCAACACTGAGAAACAGGTGATGGGATAAGATAGGGCAGGATGGTGTGGCATGGCATGAAATTACATGGTGCAGGGAAGGGATGGCCAGGGATGGAGGGCAGAGGTGTCATGCTAGTGATGTCACCTGAATGTCCCATCATCACCTGTGGGAGCTTCTTACAGCAGATACCAATGGCAAAAAAAAAAAAAAGTGCAGTATTTTTCTTTGCAGTAAAAGAAAAATAGTTTAATGGGTTTTGTACCTCATTGCCTCTTTGCTGCCATTTTCAGCCCACATTTTTGCACTGAAATACCTCAAGCTACTCAATACAACTGCTCCTCTAGGTCTCCCCTACTTGACAAGGCTGTTGAGAAATCTCAGATTCTCATTGAGGCTGCCTGTTTGTGGTGGCAATAGAGGGGAAAAGAGTCGCTAAAAACACACAAAAGCTCTGGAGATGGAGCTGGGCCCATGCAGGGTTCCAAACCCCACTGAGAAACCCTTGTTCGGTAATAAAAATATTCCAAGCCATTTAGTAAAACTTGACAAATGGCATGAAAGTGTTTCACAGCTCTGGTCATTTTCCCATCTGTGACGACCCAGGAACCAAACAGAGCTGAGTTTGTAAAGGACTGTGGGGGAGCAGGGCTTATTAGATTACAAAGAACATGACTTGTGAGAAAACCCAAAAAGTCATGGTTTTTGTCATGAAAGTCTAGGCTGTGACAAATTCAGTGTGTTAATCATGATAGATTTTTACTGGAAATCATCAGCTCAGAGCAGGGTCATTACAGCACTAGCCTCATGCCCCAGTCAAGCCCTCCTGCCTCAGCCGTGGAGAGCAGTGATAAAGCTACGCCCTGGGATTATCCTTCTGTGGACCAAGGAGACAAACTGGGGCATTCGTCCCCCAAAAAAGGGACCGCAGACTCCTCTCTCTCACAACAGCCTCCTTTGTGTCTGGGGCTGGCTGGACCATTTTCTCTGACCAAATCTGTGTTTCACATCTCTGCCTGCCTGACCCATCCCTTGTTCCTGCAGATAAATCACCCTCTTGTCCTCCTTGGGAAGTATGGTCCGTGATCACAAATGAACCTTTCTCCACAGGGCACATTGATGTCAACCCACAGCTTTATTTTTTCACTTCTTCCATTTCCCCCCCCACCCTTATCCTCTGTTTGTGAGCATCTTTCAAACAGGTCCCCTTCCCATTTGGCCCAGAGGTTCCTTTTCTGTGCTTGCAAGCCTCCCCATCCTGCACAATTGCTTTCCCATCAGATAGCACACCTCATGCTGGGCTGCTTTCTCGTGGTGTGGAGGGAGAAATAACTGCAAGGGGGGCCTGGGAAGCACGTGTGGTAGACACAATTTTAGCTGCTAATCACTGCACTGCCAAGACAGTGCTTGAGCTGCAGCAATAGCTTTGGAGAGAGTGGTTCAATGGGAAGAAGAGGCCAGGGTGATGAGCTGGTGTGCTCAGTGATGGGGATGGAGAACAGGCACTGGAGAAAGAGTAGGAAGAGGTCAGTGGCTGGTAGGGAGGAGAGTGAAGGTCTGTGATGGGCTGGTGTGCAGGAGTCTGAGCTTTGTCAGAAGAGTATGAAGAACAAAATGAAGGGAATCACACCTAGGATGAAACGAAAGAGGTGGCTAGGGTTGGAAGGGGACAGTGAAGAAGGACTGCATCAGCAGACACAAGTTTGAAGAATCACAGAATGAAGTAGGTTGGAAAAGACCTTTGATATCATCAAGTCCAACCTATGACCTAATCTAACACCTCTTCATCAACTAAATCATGGCACTGAATGACATGTTCAATGTTTGTTTAAACATGCCCAGGGATAGCGACTCCACTACCTCCCTGAGCAGATGATTCATTGCCCAATCATTCTTTCAGTCAAGAATTTTTTTCTTGACATCTAACCTAATCTTCCCCTGGCACAGCTTAAGACTGTGTCTCCTTGTTCTGTCAGTGGTTGCTTGGGAGAAGAGACTGACCTGGCTACAACCACCTTTCAAGGTAGTTGTAGAGAGTGGTAAGGGTTCCCCTGAGCCTCCTTGTGTCCATGCTAAACAATCCCAGCTCTGTCAGCTGTTCTTCATAGGGCTTCTTCTTTTACAAGCTCTTCACCAGCCTTGTTGCCCTCCTCTGGACACATTTGAGCATCTCAATGTACTTCCTAAATTGAGGGGCCCAGAACTGGACACTCTACTCAAGGTACCAGTGCCAAGTCTAGGGCAAGAATTACTTTCCTGGCCTTGCTGGCCACACTAAGAAGACAGCTCAGCTGAGAAAAGCCCCTGCCACAGCCCTGCAGGGAAAGATCTTTCCTTGTTGTTCCACACCCCTCAGCCCTTGCTGGCAGCAGCCCTGCTCTCCAGGCTGTGCTGGGGTTGATGCCACTGCAGGGCCCTGAGAGCTGCCCCAGCTGTCCCTACCAGAGGACACGGTGACGTGAAGGTCTCACTGTGGTCCCCAGGGCAAGGGCCTGTTCTGGGCTTCCCCAGAGACAGTCATTCCTAGGCTGTGCACTGTTGGATATCAGTAAGCCGCTTCCCATTCCCTCCAGCTGGGTTCCAGGGTTTCCCAGCACCTCCTCCAGAATTCCTGTCAGCATTTTGCTTGTTTAATCTTCATGCTGGGTGCCACATGGAGAAGGGAGGCAAAGAGCAGCTCATGCCAGTAGAATATGACTGTTTTAAGCCAGCAAAGGAGGATGCTCAGCTAAGCAAACCTGCAAACCAGAACCACATTATCCTACCCCAGAAAAGTACCAAGAGCTTCAGGGCTGTTCCACTGACTCCTTTAGAGCCATATTGCCTGGCAGAGCCCCTTTCCCAGCAGTGGCATCCCAGCATCCTACTGTCCAACAGAGGGTGCCACATACACCACAAAAAAGGGCAATGGGAACCCTCCCTCCTTCACTGCAGCTCCCTCCTCTTTCTCTCTGGCCCTCCCTATCTTGGCTTTTCTCCCCTGTTCCTTTTCATGCTTGCTTGTCCCTTCCTGCTTATTAACTCTCCAACACACCTGAGGAACGTGCTCCCCTCTACAGATCTGCACAGAGGATTTATGAGCCCAGCTCTCAGGGGAAGGAGCCTGGGCATAAATCACAGAATATTTAAGAATGTGATCTGCATTTATTACACTTAATACTATATTTAGCATGTCCAAGAGGACCTTATAATCAGAGACAGTGCAGATCTCAGTCTGGGGTCCTGGGGGAACCCATCCACTTGGTGAACATGTGTGAAGCCCAAAATCAGCAAGAGCAAATTTATGTTTGAATTCTTTACCAAGTTTATTCACCTAATTAGGGCTGCATATCATGCTGATGATTTCCTGAATTGGGCTGGGAATCTGGGGCCCAGGATCACTGCTTGTCTCCGCATACACAGCAGCCACACTGGTTCATCCTCCAGGACCGTGCCAGCAAAATCTGTGAGCATCTGTCACACTGAGGGGTGACAGCTCTGGTGGGTGATCATTGGCCTTCTAATCCCAGGCTAATGCCCTGTGCTCCAGCTCAGCCTCAGCCTGCCGCTGAAAAAAAACAGAAAGTCTCCTTGTATTTCATAGACCGTGCTTGGACCTGTTTCCTTTCCTGTTTGCTGGTATTTAATGCTCCATGATCCCAGGCCAGACCTGTGCTTCCCCACCAACTGTGCTGGACCAGAAACTTACCTTCATCTTCTACAAAATAGGCAGCTTGGTGGTCTCATTTGTGGATCTCAGAGCCTTTGCCAGAAGTTTGGACTCAGGTAAAGGATGACTTGATAGACTGGTGATGGAGTGCAGGGAAAAGAGGGTATGAAATGAGGACTTTGGTCCTCGTTGTTGTCCAAAACTGATGGCAACATAGGTCAGTCAGGAAGTAGGAGTCTGGTCCCTTCAGCAGGAGGACAGACCTTCTCCAGCCATGCTGAAACAGTCATTCCCATCCTGCTTCTGTTTCCATGCGGCTGAAATTCCCCAGCCAGCAGATAAAAAAGAGAGAGAAGAGCATGATGCTTTTTTCCAGCTGAAGTGTCCCTGGACTAGTGAGCACTTGGCAGGGCAAAACCATGAACCCCCTCTCTGCAGCCCTAGCTGATCAGGACAGCCAGTCACACAGGATACACCCATGCCCATGCAGCACCAGGACTGGTGGTGGCAACTCATCACAGTGACCAGGTCACCCTCCACCATCTCCCAGCTGAATCTGACTGAGCATCCTTCCCAAAATAACGGAGGGAGAGGCATGGGCTGCTAACAGGAGCAGCTGTCTGTCCTCTTGGCACACTGCTTAAACCCAAGTGCAGAAAAAGCCCCATGTGTTGTTCTCCTGGTGCTGAGAGGTTTATGCAGTGACCCTCTCAAGCACCCCACGCCCAGTGGACAAGCTCTGCCTCTCAAAAGGGGCTCTTCCAACCTCAGGCACATCAGAGATGCTATGACAGTACCAATTGATACAGGGTCTTGTGCAGTGCTGGCATCAACAGAGACATTTCCTCACCTTGCTGAGGTCGTGGTGCCCCATCCAGGCATCACCACAGCAGCCAAAGCTTCCCTCCTTCCTGGAGAGCCCTGCTGTCCGTGGCGCCTGCCTGGGAGCCCTGGGACCCTCGCCTGGGTGCGTGCGTGTCGGTCTGTCTGTCTCCTTTCACAATTTTCCAGGAAAGTTGCTTTGATTTACGAGCCGTGGACAGTGCTAGCTGAGTGCTCAGGAGGGCTTGATTACAGTTTCCCAGAGGAAGCTGTCTGTTTGGAGATGGCAAGGTGACAGGGTTTATACAGCACAGCACAATGTGTCTAAGCAAAGCTGTCAGCCGGAGACAGATGAAGTGACTGAGAAAGCCCATTACTTCATTCACACCTCAACGGGCAAACAATAAAACACTTACACACAGCGGGCGGTGCAGGGGGAGTGGTCCACCAGCCCCTGAAAAAATACACCAAGCTGCTGTGGAGGCATTTGCTGCACTCCTGGCTCAGCAGGATGGGGCAAAGGAAAGGACAGAAGGGACAAGCAGCACGGAGAGAAAATGTGTCACTCCTCGCAGACAGGCATTTGTCCCCACGGTGAGGTGCCACGTTGTTATGTCGAGTCATAACAAACCCCTGGCTTGTGTTTCCTCAGCAGCAGGAGCAGCAAAAGGCCAGGCCTGAACAAGGGACCCATCTTGGATCACGCATGAGGCCCCTGGCCCACGCAACCTCTCCAAGGAGACTGGTGCTCACACTGCTGGGGCCAAGAGGTGGCCCTGAGTGAGGGACCCACAGGAGGGTGTGCTGGGCAGGCATGACCTGCTCTGCTGACCTGAGTGTCCATTTTGCCCACTTTACCTGTGAGCAGTGCCTGGGTTTGCACAGAGGCCACGAGCAGTGGGCCATGAACGCAGAGCTCCTGCTCCCACCATGCACAGCCCCTCCATGGTGACCTGCTGTCACCAGCCACCCCACCCACACAAGGAGGTGACTGGGGCACACACAGGCAACAGGTTGTCAGTGAAGAGCAATCAGCACTAAAAGATTTGGCAAAATGTGTGTTTTTCTTTCATCAAATCACCTCACACAAACCTGCAGGTCAGTGATCCTAGCATGTGGAGAAAGCTGTAACCCTGCTCCCTCAGGACGACTACTGCAACAATGAGAGGGGCAGAAACAACCTCCAGCCCCCCCTGACACCCCCCAGGCAGCAACCTCGTGCACAGTGGAATAACAGGACAATAAAATCAGCAGTGTTGACACTGGGAAACACTCACTGTATGTCCTTGGCTGACACTCAAGTATCTGAAAGTAATGACTCAGGATGCAATTCCTGTTAGGAAGCCTGTTTTGCTTTTACTGCTGCCTCCCAGATGAACGGGCCCCTAGGAGAAGGTACATTCATCTCTCCTAGGGTTCAGCGGAAGCTGAGCTCTGCTAATGCTCCTGCCTTGAACTCTTTGCCAGACTAAGCTCTCCTCAAAAGCAGAAAATTAATTACCTGGCAGGTTTATGGGCTTTTCACAGGAAAGAGAAACCCCTGATGTTCTCACTCACAGTGTTGGGGATGGAAAGCACCAGCACTGAGCTTATTTATCGCTATGAGGTGCCAATGCCAAGCTCACATGCTAAAATTTTCTAGGAAACTTAGTAATGCCCAAATAGCTTTGAAGTTCAGCCTACAAACTGTGCCATGCAAAGCACAGGTGGTCAATTTTAATGCCACAGAGACCCTGGCCATTGCCATGTGGCTGGGAAAGCAATCCCACACCAGTTTAGGAATCCCTCCTCCCGGTGTGGAGCCCAGAAGAAAGAGGTTTCCTTACTTTCCTTTTCTGGGAGATATTCCTAATCTAGTTTCTGTACATTAGGCAAGAGTATAGGACATGCTGTGGTAGGTGCTGATGCTTTGGCTCTGATGGATTTTGCTTTTTCATGTGATTTCCCCCTGCTCTATTACAGCATTACTAGCTGTATAGAATGATGAAATGGTTTGGGCTGGAAGGAACCTTAAAACTACACCCTGCCATGGGTAGGGACGCCGTCTACTATCTCAGGTTGCTCCAAGCCCCGTCCAACCTGGCCTTGAATACTCCCAGGGATGGGGCAGCCACAGCTTCTGTGGACAGCCTGTGCCAGGGCCTCATATAAATGAACCAAGGTTACTCATCACACCAAGCCTAGGTGCACTGTAGCAGAAGACACATTGCTCTTTCAATGTTTTTTCCATTCTATCTGATGGAGTTATCTGGGACAGTTTCAGATTAAAGGAAAAAAACCAACAAACCAAACTTTAAAAAATCATAATTTGTTTTGGAAATAATCCTAATCAAACATGGCCACAGAAAAAACAATGTTTCATAAAAATGGGATATTTTGAAAGAAGACCCTTTATTTCCAAAGGAAACAGGACTTGTTCCTAATCATAGTGTGGGATTCCTCCTGGCCACATTAGACCAGGCCAGCCTTGCCTGGGGATAGGAGCTGGCGCAGCCATTCAACACAGCACAGCTCCCACCACAGCAGAGCCTTACATGCACACACACAGGTGTTTTATTATTGAAAAGTGTATTGAAGGATGAAAAATTATCCTTTCTCTCCCCATCCCTCCCTCTCCATGCCAGCATCTAACACATGTGCCTTGACATCTGCAATATCAGGGGCATTGCAGCAGCTAAAGGTTTTGCCCAGTTTCTGTAGGAAATAAGGATATTCCCAATTTACTTGTTAAAACCCTCATTATCAGCATCATGTTACAGGCTTTCCAGAAGCCTGGCAGCCCTGGCAGATGAAGCCAGCTCTCTGTGGCTGCCATGGACAGCTCTGTGCTTTGCAGCCCTGCAGCCGGAGCTGCCGAGCACAATTGTGCAGCCAGTGTCACAGGCTCGGCTGTGCAGCAGAGCAGCCTCCCTGGAGCAGCCAGCCTGCTCCTTCTGGGGCAGGGCTGGGACACCTGGACCTTCTGGAACCTTCTGGGACCAGACAGACCCAATGTGCCTTTGCCTCATCAGGCTCTGCTGAAGTTTTTTGGAGTTCAGAGGGAGGCGTGACAGCTTCCAACTTCCAATCAGTTTTTTCTTTAAGCCAGTGTCATGCTTTTAAAAGGTAATGTGTCACATGCAAAAACCCACAAACTCACCCAAGAAACCCACTTTTTGACACCTCAGAAGCCCTTTACAGACAAACCCCTCAACTGCAGACAGTGTTATTTTGCAGATGTGCAGAAATCCTCTCCTTAGATGGCAGTTGCTGCCCAGCTCTTCTACCTGCAAATGTTACAGGGAGACCTACATGGGCTTTTCCTGGCTAGCCAGGTGATTTTTTCACACCTAGCCATTGCAGCAGTGCTTTCCCAAGCAGTGTGCTCCCAGTAGAAAGGGGTCCTGCACTGAGTGATGCTGTATTTTGCAGGAGAACAACACATCACACCTCTGCTTTTAGCTCAAATTCAGGTCGGAGCTGACCCTTTGCTAGCCACTCTGACTCAATTTGCCCCAAGGTGAGATGTTTCTAATGTCTCTCCCTGTAGCAGGTTTAATTTTGGGGCAAATGGGTGACAATTTGCCTTATTTCGCAGTTTGTGACTAGATCCTGGCTCCCTGCTAGAGAAATATTTCTGGAGAGGCAAAGAAGAACTTTCATGGAGCTGAAAGGCAGAGTTGCAGCCAGGGTCAAATCACGCTGCTTGATTCAAACATACACCCTAGGAAAAAGGAATGAAGATGAGACACATCCCCTTCGGCAGGGGCAGCATCCCACTATCTCTCACCTCTCAGTGACACTTAGGGGAGCTTCCATTTATCTTGGATATGAATATCTGGGGTGCTGCAGGACAAGCAATATCCCTTTGGCCTCATCTGACATTTGGTTGAGGCAGGAAGCTGGGGTGGGTGTGGGATGTGCAGGCTCCATGCACTGCCATAGTAAATAGTGTTACAAAACTCCCAGCACCGTGTTCTGGTGGTGTTCCAGCAGGACATTCAGATAATGGGAAACTGCAGAAATAAATCTGAGTCTTGGCTCTCCACAGCCTGGGATCTGCCCAGCTGGATCCAAGACATGGGCTGGCCTTACAGCACCCACAGTCCAATGGGATCAGAAGCAGGGCTGCTGCCTTTTGCTTCTCTGCCCCACCTGCCTTCCCAAAAATAAACCCAGATTCTTGGAAGATAAAGCCCTTCAAGATCCCTTGAACTTTACTTTTAGAGTTGGGGTTTTTTTTTCTCCTTTTAAGTTTGCTGTTTCCAGAGGTTTCAGCTGTTTCTTTGGATCTGAAAGTGATGAAAGAAAGGAAGCAAACACCAGACAGCACTTCCAGCCACTCTAAAACACCAGTCTGGGGGTACACTGTAATCCAGCCCCCTCAAACCCTCCAGCCTCAGTATGCTGTACACAGACACTCACCTGCAGATCCCCTGACAGCTGGAGCTGAGCATGAGATGAAGCTGTTCTAGTGGAAGAATTACTGTCTCTCTCTGATCCACCAGGCAGAACCCAAGGGGAGGTCTCAGCTCTAGGAGCAGACTTAGGCCCCTGTATATCACATGGGACTGGACTCAGGTTGGTAGCGTGTGCTGCTGGGGCACAGTTGGAAACACCAAAGGCAGGACCTGGAGCTGTTTCTCAGAACTATTGGCCAAACCATGAGGAAACTGATCGGAGCTGAGGCACAGGGACCCATCCTTTCTATTTCAGTCAGGGAGGGCTGCATCCCTTTGGAGCACCTCTCCAGCACTCAGGTTCTCACTTTGGGATCAGTCAACTTGCTTGACCTCCTTAGGCAAGGGTCCTCATTTTTCGTAGAATCAGAGAATCATAGAATGATTCAGGTTGGAAGGAGCCTTAAAGCCAATCCAGTCCCAGCCCCTGCCATGGCAGGGACACTTTCCACTATCCCAGGGTGCTCCCAGCCCCATCCAGCCTGGCCTTGGACACCTCCAGGGATCCAGGGGCAGCCACAGCTGCTCTGGGCACCCTGTGCCAGGATGCTATCACTCTCACAGGGAAGAATTTCTTTCTAATAACAAATCTAAACCTGTCCTCCTTCAGCTTCATCATCTACATTCATCAACCTGCCCTTCATCAGCTGCATTAGTTTTTACTTCTCTTCAAGAAAGCTTCCCAGAAAGCTGTGTAAGCTGTACGGGAGGACCTTCCAAAGTGTTTCTTCTGGTGCCAGCAGACTGCAAAGCCCATCTTCTGGTGACAGGCCAATGGCTCCAAGCAGCAGCTTCTCATGCACAAAGTGAACAGTGTCACCACTGCTCAGTGGTGGGTGAGACAGAGTTTCTGTAGCCTTTGGCCAAACTCACCTGTGGTGAGGCACTCAACTGCAGATGCTCATGTGCTGGGTACTCAACAGAGTAGATGGGGACACCACAAACACACATCATCCAAATCAGCCTTTTGTTGAATCCAACACTTGTGGCTACCAGACCACAAAATGTTCCCAGAGACAAAGAGCACCGTGGTGTGCTAGCAGCCCCCAGACAAGTGGGGGCTTGGGGGACAGACAGACAACCAACAATTGAGCAGAGCATCACTCCACATTACAGGAAACATGGTGGGCAGTTAGCTCTGGTTTTGAAAATAAACCATGCTTTGTTTTTATTTTGCTAGCTTAGGCCAAAGAGCTGAAATGAAGCTGCAGCCCAGCAATTAGTGCTGAATTTCCCATAAAGATTAAACGGAGAGATTTTTTAATCAGAAAATATAAAAGAAAAATGTTTCATGAATAGCATAAGGTTTACAAGCCCATCCATCAAAACTGGGAACTAATAACATAGCTAGAATAGAAATGGGATTAAGGCCCAAAGGAGTCACTTACCATAAGATCAGATGTTGTCATGCACTGGGCGTCCAAACTGGCCCACAGTGGTGGCCCAGTGCACCAGCATCAATAGGGTCAGATGCAGGGGAACAGATGTGGGCAGAAAGTGGCCTGAACTGGAACGTCTCACCAAGTCTCTGCAGAGAACCAGGACCAGGAATTTGGTTGAATTTTTCAGGTCAAATTCAGGAGTTGAAGGGAATGCACTTTTAAATTTGAATGGAGTTGCCTCCCGAGTCCTTGATTCATTTGTAGGATACTAGACATTTTACAGGAGGTGCTGGGGAACAAGATGTGTTCCCTGCAGAGCTTTTCCTGGCACACAATGCTTAATGGGTTATGGTTGGTCAGAAAGCCACAAAAGTCATGCTGCTGGAGATGATGCACAGCTGCAGGTGTATATCAAACTCCTCCAATGACAATCCCTGGAAACAAACAGAGCAGAAAAATTTGGGCAAACTGTGGGTTGTTCACCCAGTCAAACCACTGCAGAGGCAGAACATCTTCATGCAGAGGAGGCCAGGAGAACAGAGACATTTGACATCAGCAGAAAACTCTCCTGAAGTGTCCCTGTGCAATAGCAAAAAAGTGCAGGGTGTTCTGAGGCCAAAACATGTAGGTTTTCAGGATACCTGTGGGAGCATGATGCTGGGTAAGGAGCATCAGGGAATAGAACTGAACAGGGTGTGAAAGACAGACTCCCCGAAGAGCCTGTGAGAGACTGGAATGTTAATGGTTAATAATTCCAAACAATTGGCCGCTTGCAAAAGCAGCAAGTGCTTTGCTGACTATGCCCAAAGTAACCGCCCAGGGGCAGAAGGGGTGCACAAACACACACACAGACACACACACAGACTCACAGACACAGACACACACACAGACACACAGACAGACAGACACACAGACACAAACACACACACACAGACACACACACACAGACAACACACACAGACAGACAGACACACAGACACACAGACACACAGACACACACACAGACACACACACACACAGACACAGACACAGATACACAGACACAGACACAGACACACACACAGACACAGACACAGACACAGATACACAGACACAGACACACACACAGACACAGACACAGACACAGACACAGATACACAGACACAGACTGACACACACACACACACACACACAGAGACACACACACATATCCCGAGAGGATGATGAACTCTGAGACAGATAAGGGAAGAGGCCAGTAATGAGCAGATTTTGCAGGCAGGATATTTCTTTTTATCATGTCCTTACTTACATAATTGGCTCAGGTGTGAAAACTCCCTTCCAGGGAAGTACTGGGGACATTCACATATAAATCTGAAGTTATTATTCCCTTTCTGATGGGCCATAATTGGTTCAGTTAAAATGACAAGAGAGGCTGCTGTCATGTCTTAAAAAGTGTCATAAACCATCAAAAGCCCTCGAAGTTCCCCTGATCCACTCTGATCCAAGTCACACAGCATGGAACTCTCTGACCAAGGGGGAGGTACCTGGCTGTTCCCATCGAGCCTGAGCATATATTAACCATTCAATATTACATTTTTCAGGCTTCCTCCATCCCTGGCAGATCAAGACTGTGAACATCATTTCGACCAACTTACATAGACATTTTCCATTGAAACCAAACTATTCTAAAAAACTCCTACATATTGTATATGTATTTATAAGCACTGATCATTCAGTGTTATTTCCCTCTAATCCACCCCAAGGAATATATTAATCTGGGTTACCTTCTCCTTCTGGAGCAGGTTGTAACACAGTCAACAATTCTTCCTGTGAGAATGGGATAAAGAAAGAGGCAAATAAATCCGTTTGTCTCTGGCCAGGTCCTTCTGACAAACAATGGCTGTGTTTCAGGCAGGTCTGGTTTTACAGCCCCCCTGTGCCAGCGTGACATACCCATAACTCTGCTCATTCTGCAAGGAAAGCCAGAAGTTAATTACAGTGAGGCATGTAACAAAATTCCAGCGAAGGAAGAGGGCTCCAAGGTTGACTTTCCACACACTGCCCAAGGTTGCATCTCAGTGCCCTCCTTACATGCACACACTTTCCTTTGCACATCCCAGGTGCAAAGGAGGAGCCTGAGATTGGCCCAGCATCCCTGTGCTCACCATCTCTTGTGGCACACACATACTTGACAGTGAGACCATGGGGGATCTGGAGAATGCTGCTGACAGGGAAAACTGCCCAGGTGATGGGGGCAAGAGGGCTGTGGTGAGAGGTGACCAAGAAGAAGTGAGGAAGACATTCATTCAGTACTGAAGCATCACCCTGTGGCACCACAATTCTCTGGTGCATCACAATGAGGGCCAGAGCAGTGCTCCTCATTCACAGGTGGGCTCTGGAGTGTGGTTGAGGTACTGCTAAAGGAATAAAGGATGGAAAGCATCTGGGGTGTTGCAGATCCCAGTCTGTGAAAGGAATGTGAAATGATGGGCATGCAGAGCTGTTCCAGCCAGGCTGCCCAGCCCAGTCACCTGCCTGTTTCTTGCCAGCAGATCTTTGGATGCAGCTGGTGCTCTGCCCACCTGCAGATCAAGATGGCCCATGCAGGGCAGGGGGAGGGATCTTCCATGTCAGGAATCACAGATTGTTTCTTGGGATGTGAGAGCTCCCTACGGCAGCAACAAGACCTCCAGAGCTCCAGATGAGAGACACAGAGACCCATGCCAAAAGAGGAAGGAGTCCCATGGAATGGCCTGAGCCATGCTCCACATCGTACTCCCAGCTGCACCAGGGCAGTTCCCCAGGAATCGATGCTGAACAGGACATTCAGCATTCACGAGTTGCTTCTGACCCATCTGTCCAAGAAGGAGCAGCAAGGGATGGTATTCAGAGTCCTGAGCCAAACAGGGGCTCAGCCAGGCTCTCCAGCTCTGAAACAGGTACAGGACTGGACAGAATGAGTTTCTGTGGGAGCAGGGCAAGCACCAGCACCCCCTCCCTACCTTGCTGCAGGGGAGGTGGGGGGGAGCAGGGCCAGCTGGAGGCCACAGTGTCCCCGTTTGGTGGAGACAGATCTGTTCTCCACCACTGCTCAGGAATGCAGCTCGAGGTGGAGCAGCAGGTGCTGGAAGGAGGCTCTCGCCATCCAAGAAAAATACCAGCCCTGCTCACCAAGGGAAAGGAGCAGAAGCAGCCCCTACATAGCAAGATTTATGGTCCCCAGCAGGCTGGAAAAAATCCAGTGAACATTTCAGCAAATCCAGCCTCTGTCAGAAGTTACAGAGTGATAGGTGTAAGTCCCAGCCAGACCTGCAGCTGCTGCCTCTCCTGAGTCAGCCCCGGGCCGCCAGTGAAGTCACCCTTGCACCTCAGGCTGTGGGGATGGCAGTGGGGGCACCTCTGCACCACGGGAAACATCACACTGAATGCATGGGACTGTCTTTAGAGGAGCTCTGAGGAGCACAGGGCTCATCTACAGAAAAGCTTGGAGATGGGTCGGGGTTGTTCACAGCATCCACTTTCCAGGTCCCAAGCTGGGTCACCTTGTCTGGTGTCATCTTCTAGGACTCACACCCTGTTTGCAAATATTTCCTGCTGCCCATCAAGGGTGCCCACAAGGACTGTGTCCACAAACCCCACACAGACAGCTTTCCCCTTCATGCAGGAGATTGTTGCCCCTTCCAAGGATCTCACAAGCCTTGAACAGATGAGCAAGAGGAGGAAAAAACAGAGGTGATTCCCTTAAAAGTCATTAACATGCTTATTAGTATTGACTAATGCCAGATCTCAGCCCTTGTCATCCTCTCATCCTCACCTGCAGGCTTTTTGGGACAAGGCCAGTCTCCTTGACTTTTGATAATACCTGCCATACAGAGGATGATAAAATCATCAGCTTTCTGCAGCTGGCAGGGGCCAATGCTTCTCATCCATCCTTTCATCAGCCCCATTCACCTCGTGCTGTATCCCTGGGAAACTCCTCCCACACCCCCCCAGCCCCTAGATTTCCAGGGCTTTTTGCACAGTAAAACCAGTCCTGATGTTGAGATAATGACTGTTCCAGTAACCACATGCAACAAGATGGGAGATTTCTGGCTCTTTTCTGTCACAGACATATTTTATGAAAAATCCTTTCGTTATGATCTTTTCTCCTGAGAAGCCGAGAGGCCTCAGAAACGAAATGTAAACAATGGTTATCTGCTGCTGTGGAATGCAACAGGTGAATCTTTGATTGGTCTCATGTGGTTGTTTTTAATTAATGGCCAGTCCAGCTGTCTCAGACTGTCTGGTCAGTCACAAGATTATATTATCATTCCTTTCTATTCCTTTCAAGCCTTCTGATGAAATCCTTTTTTCTATTCTTTTAGTATAGTTTTAAAATATTATTTTCTTTTAATATAATATATATCATAAAATAATAAATCAGCCTTCTGAAACATGGAGTCAAGATTCTCATCTCTTCCCTCGTTCTGGGACCCCTACAAACACCACCACATCTTTTCCAGAACGAAAACTGTTGTGTGCCCTTCCCACATGTTCTGCTGCAGGGGAAGCGTCTGAATGCCCCAAAACCTCAGTGGTCTCCAATGAGGGGATGAGTTAGGACCCTTCTGCCAGATTTTTGTTATCTGAGACATGTCATGGTCCAGCTGCTGCCAATTCTCCACAGAAACTCCAGCATCTCTCTGGAGACTAGGGTCAGCATACCAGGTTTTTGCTGTTTTTCCCATAGGCTGATTCTCCCTCCCAAAGGACAAAATTTGAGGGTCACTCATGGTCCTTTACCTCCACAGAAAAGTCAGCTTCTCCCTCCAGCATCTCTAAAGCTGGGCAAGCCAAGATGCTGGGGCTGTGGTACATTTGGGTTAGAGATGCAGCAGTTTTTCTTCATCCTCATGCCTCTCACACAGGGCCAAATCCTCCATGTCCTGTTGCAGGCTGGTGCCCAGCCCCAGTGCTCAGACCTGCTGCACCCCCTCCCTTCATCGTTAGACCTGGAGCCATGCAGGACCTGTGTCCTGGGGTGACGTTATGATGCTTGTATATCCCCATTCATCTGTTCTGTGCCTTTAAGACCGGCTCTGAAGAGTTGAAGTTTTGTTTGGGTTTCTCTTATCAGGGACACAGAGGAAAGCGGTACACAGGGCTGTTTTTTCACTTCCAGCTTCAGCTTGCTGCTTTTGCTTGCTCTCTTTTTCTGCTCTTGCTTCTGCTCTGCTTTCTGCCTCTGCTTATTAGCTAGTTCTAGCTAAACAGTCCGCATTCCTTCCTGGACTGTTTCTCCTCTCCTGTTCCTGTGACCATCTCGAACCTGCTCCGGACTGGGACCCGGGAACACCGAAGGTTTGGCTGCAGCAGCTGGCCCAGCGCTGGAGGGACTGAGAACAGAGCAACCACCCCTGAAAGAGACTTTCTGATTTTGTCATCTTTCTCAAAGCGGTGTCATCGGGTATTGTTCATTTTGTGTGCTGGGGGGTGCTGGGCCAGTCAAATAAACAGGTTCTTTCCACCTCTCTCCGAGGAATTTTTTCCCAAACTGGTTGGGGGGAGGGGCCGTGTGGATTTCGCTTTCTGGAGGGGCCCTCCTTTGCAGATTCTTTAACAAATTTGCCCTAAACCAGGACAACCTGGCATTTTCCTGGTGTCACCCCTGGGTCCTGTGCAGGATGGCTGAGCCAGGAGGCTCCATGTCCATGGGGGCATGCTGGGCTCCCCAGTGGCAACTCCAAGGTAAGCATGCCCTGTGCTCCGGCTGTTCCCAGCCACAGCTTCATATCCTCACTGGAACTACCAGTTCACCAGGTCAGCCCCTTTGGAAAGCACTCCTGCTTCACTTTCCAAGTGCATCCATCCATTTTCCTAAGGCAGCAGAGGTCATGGGATAGCACTCTGTGCCTCTGTGTATCTCACTCAGCTCTCTAAAAGCTTGTCCAACTTTGTCTCCAAACATCCAGTGCAGCTTCTGGGTTGACAGTCCTGAGATAGTTTTGGGAGGAGGGTGGAGGATCTTCCTTCACACATGCCTGCAGGCTGCATGGGGAAGTTCAGATCTTAACCAACAAAGGATCCCTGCAGAGGCTGCTCCTCCAGGCACAACTCACCAGGAATTCCATCTCTAGTCTTTCTGCTCTTCCTAAATGAATGGTTCTTCAGTCAGATTTCTCAAACTACCCCTGCAGGGAGCCCTGCTTCAGCTTCTTTCTGGGGGAGCAGCAGAGATTCAGGAGCTGACAGGAATGGAGGTACATCTTGCATGAAGTACAGCATGGGACTCTCCTTCCCTCCAAGTGAAACCTGCTCGTAAACCTCTTTAGAGCCAGGAGTCAGCCCCAGCTCCACATTTTGGAGGCCCTTCCACTGTAACTGGGCATGTCTTTCCACCCACCCCTCTGCAACATCCCCCATCTCTCTCCCTCTCTGTGCCACACCTTCTTGGAAAGGAGCACTGAATCAGGAGGTCTGAGCACTCATCTTTGCTCCATGGTCTGAAACCTCTCCTCTGCCCTGGGGGGCTCTCTCAAGAAACCACCTCTGAGCATCCCCTCCCTGCCTGTGTCCCCAGAACGTGACAGAGATAGCAGCCACAGGCAGGCCCTGGCATTAGCAGGGGTCACTCTGGGGGATTGGCATCACCTGCTTTCAGGTGTCACCCTAACACCCAGTAACCCAAACTCAGGAGAGCCACTGCCTAGGTGAGGTCTTGTGTTGGTGTGTCTTGGGTTGTAATGTAAGGTGTAAGCAAAAGTACCTGTGCTATTAGCATCTGCATGAGCTGTTAAAATGGGTGGAGCAGTGTTCTTACCTTCTCCATGATAATTCAGCCCTGATAA